CTTCACTTATTTGGGAAGTACCATCAGCCCCAACGGGCTGATCTCTGACGAAATCTCAGCACGAATACAGGGGGCTCGTTTCGCATTTACCAGTTTACGCCGACTCTGGCGTAGACGAGATGTTCGACTATCGACCAAAGGGCGGGTGTACTGCTCATCAGTCCGCTCCGTCCTCCTTTATGGTTGTGAGACCTGGCCACTGAGAGTGGAAGACATGAAAAGACTAGCTGTCTTTGATCATAGGTGCCTGCGCTCTATTTCCCGTGTAAAGTGGCATAATAAGGTGAGCAACATTGAGGTTAGGCGTCGAGTTCTAGGTAAACAGGGGAAATCAATCGACGAAGTCGTGAAGCTACAAAGACTGAGATGGTTAGGACATGTGTTACGTATGCCAAGTCATCGCCTTCCTCGACGAGCAATGTTAGCGGATATAGGGTCAGGCTGGAAAAAAGCTAGCGGCGGTCAAACAAAAACTTGGCACCAGTCAATGAAATCCACAACAGTTGGTCTAAGCCACGTAGGAAGGTGCAGACTTCTTGGCTGGTTGGGGTCCTCGGGATGGTAAAAACCAATGGCTGGAAACAATTGGTGACATGGTTCAAAATCATTCTCAATGGCTGGCGCAGATGCATCCACTCCTTGTGATTTATGATTTCCAATGAAACTATATGGTTCTTCGTTATTACTATTGCTTTGTCTCACACCCCTGTTTACTGTCTCTATTATGCACTTCTTCTACTTTCTTCTCTTGCTTTGTGTGCTAGATGGAGTGTGGCGACTTGGGCTGCCGCACGTATGTGCAAAGTTCTATGTCGAAAACAGACAGACAGACACTGCTACTCTATCTTCGCTGACACGAATAACCTATTCGTTATAAAAATGCCCATTCAAATTGTACATTGTGCAGATGGTAACATCTTTATTCGTTCCATATCTACTAAATATGTGTCTGATAATCTGTTTATTTCTTCACTTTATTTGATGTCACGGAGAGTTTTCTAGTACTTTCTAGATGTGAAATTTCGTCTTCTCCATTTTAATTCTAAAATTCCACGTGGACATTGTTTTGGATAGCCTTTGTTGTTCTGTAGTGCCACTATATATCAGCTGTGCTACTTTGTCATTGACCAAGTGGTTTACCGGATTCAGTCATTTTAAACCATGACTTGGCAGCAGCGGTCTTATCACCATACTTGTTGAAGCACTCATGACTTATTTTTCAACACGTGATTATTTTACTACATCGCAGTCTCAATGTCGCACATTTATGCGTAATTTTTACCCTATAAAGTAGCCAATTCAGCGTGGTACTCTGAAAATACAGTCTTGACAATAAGCAACACATCTAAATATCTTAGACTGAGCCGCATACATTAGCTCGCTACACACATCTAGAAATGACATTTGCATTTTCCTTACATGGTACAGATAACCTGAATTATTCCTCGTATCACTTTATTTCAGTCATCATAATTTCGACATCATTGAATACATCAAATCCCCACAAACCAACACTTGAATATCATTGAATACACTTGGTAATTTAAAGTTTAATTCAGAAAAATGTCATCAAAACTACCAAAATATTTGATTTTTTAACAAATGTCTTGGGTGATTCCTGAAAAGCCTTAGTCTGTATACTGATGTCATTCCACGCTTACAGCATAAAGGTACTCCGCAGAAATGGGCTAATAATCTTCTCTCCCTATATCATTAGAAATCTGTGAGTTGCTAAACCTTGGAAATATTCATTTGATAAGTGACGTGAAATTCAGATTCATAGTTAACATTAGTATATTCTCCTTTCGTACAGCCTTAATTACGTTTGATGAATTTTAGTTTTGAAAACAATCTATGAATAATTGATGTCAAAGAACATCTACATGCGACTTCGCCATCGGGGCTCACATTGGTTATTGCCTCCTGATCTTGTCATGAGAAGAAAGGTGTTTTAATGCGTTTAAAAGTTAACTTTAGACAGGAAGATGTTTATTCAAAAATTCACTTTCTTTTTTCTAGGAAATCTATAGTGAACAGCAAAGAGGGAAATGTATTTGAACTCTGTATACCTAATGCATTTATCATAGCGGACAATGTTCTGTGGTTGGAGTGCGCAGTTTCATTAGAATTTATTCACTTGATTTTTATTTCTTACACTATGAAGCAGCTTCCAGTTTGGCATTCTCCCTTTTAATCACAACTGGGATGCACCTGTTTAAAAAACAATAGAGAGAAGTTTATAAGAAGCTTGATACATAAAAGATAACTAACTGATGAAATATATATGTGTGGAATAAAAGGGGACATAGGTCGGTGGCACAGTGGTTGGGACTCTCGCCGACCATGCACATGGTCCCGGGTTCGAACCCTCGCCGACGCACACCTGATATCTATGGTCGGCCTGCGAATTTTGGGCTACCGATATCCACGCTGAAAATTCCATACTTGTACCAAAAATACGGTGTGGAATCAAGCTGTAATCAAAAATAAAAATAAAAAAAATTCTATTCAAACATTAAAGTTTTATTTGGTCTTCGCAAGACATCTACTCTGTTGTAATAGTGTTTGGTTCATTTATTCATTTATTTACGTACCAATCCGATAAGAAATCAATTTGGTCAGATGACTCACGAATAGAGCAAGACGTATCTGTACAGATGACTCCCTAGAAAATGAGTTAGGATGCATCCAAAATACGTTGTTTAAAAGTAGTTAGTTACCCTGGTAGATTTATAAGGAGACATATGAACACTAGGTACAATAAAGGGAAACTGACAACAGTTATATAATTGCAGTTTAATTGGGACGTATCTAGTGAAGTCTTACATCCGAAATTATCGAGAGCGATGAAACGGATTAATACTGCCGCCACCCTTTGTTTGTCATTTTTCAACCGGCCAATTATGATTGCTCAAGCGAAAGACAAGCTGCCTAGCTGTTCTACTTCTATGTGTATCTACATATTTAGTGGCTCGTGCAGAGACAGCTATATAGAGTGAACAACTAGACAGCTTAAGAAAAGCATTAATGAGTATCTTCCTTCACGGTTCGGTAAAGGTCAGATAAAATCTATATGAAGTTCTATTTTGGCTCATTTGATTGATAGCGGTCACAAGTGGACAAAAATAGTGCCTTCAAAGTTGTCTATCGCATTCCATCGAGCCTTTCGAACGCGTCTCTTACACAGTCGAAGCTATGGGAATTCGCGAGAACAATCCTAGTCTTTGCATACAAAAGAAGTTTGTTCTAGCCTTGTCTCTCCCTTGGCCTAGGTGAATTCTAATCAAAACTCTACCACCCTTCCTTATTTTCCATTTCCTTCGTACTTTTATGACATTATCTGCCCACTTTACCCATAGTATTACGTAACTTTTAAGATTCGACCTAATTTATTTATTGATTTGTCTACATATACACATATTACCACCCTTGGTATTCTTATCGCCACCTGCATAAATCTTATTTTCAATATTTTGTTATCATTGTAATCATCGTTATTACTGACGTTCAAAACATTTATCATGTTATTATTATTATTATTTGATCCACAAAATCACCGTCATTGGTTAAAATGTTTGCACATAAATTTGTAACAGATTATATTTGTAAAATCTCAGCGAGACTGAAATGAGTAATTCCAACGTTTCGTTCGGCAATCTGGTCCGAACTTCTTCAGGGAATTTTATAATTTCAATCTCGGTGAGATTTTACAAATATAATCTGTTACAAATATCTACTTCTCACTCGGTGTCCAAATATTTCATAACTATTCTGTCAAATCGTGACGACTATTTATTTGAATTTGCACATAAATGTATGTAAATCAGCGTAAAAACTGAAGAAGACCTAATCGAAAACAGTATAGTCCGCCTATATATCTTGTTCTCATATTGAAAATGGGAATATTTAAAGATTTATTCTAAATAGGTTTATTTTCAAATCCCCAAGGATTGCTGCCGATTTCAGATGCCATTCAGTCAGTAAATTCTAAATGTATTTAGTTAAATTGTGTCGTCGTTTTGAAGTCACTGATGTGAAACGTTGAGACATGAAGTACTAACACTAGTTTGTACAGTACGGTTTGCTGGCATTATGCGAGTTTAACCAATCTCAGAGGTTAAATTCATCATAAAATGACATCATCTGGGATTACGTAAAACTTCTATGTAAGAAGTAGGAATTTCAGTAGTGTATATCTTTGTGGATTTGAAATAAAAGGCCAATATAATAAACATATTTTAAAATAAACAGAGTTTTGTGACAGGAACGATTGTATTTTTCAAATGTTATGTATGTTTTAGGCATCTGAGTGAAATCTAAAAGAGATTGTACCTGTTAGTATGCGTAACAGATCCACAGAATATTTCTACAGAGCATTTTATTCTGCTGTGATTTCATTGGTGGAAATATGAGACTTTTGAAATATTGGATGATTTTCGAAATCTAGTTGTATTCAAAGTTTCACCTCAGTCCCAAAGTGATTTGTAAACAAATGGGAAATAATTACAAATGATTGGTCGGTTGTATATATGTACACATATATTAATGTTTATGTCCCGACTTTACCATATCGGAGACTTTTAATCAATTTAAGTGCAAATGTATAAAAATGTTCTGTCACTGGAACTAACATTTATGCCTAACTGCATATGAAATTCAGGTAGTTGCGTAACAGCACAAGATTTGTTAACGACTCATTTAAGCCCTTTGAAACTGAAGATAGCAAGAAAATTCTTGCATTACTTCATAGTTTATTTCTGTGTAGTCAGTTGACTAGAATCAAATCGCAAATGACTGCAAAGATGTTATCTGCTCAATGGTTAATGTGTACTTAGTTTCTGAATCTTATAAATGCCTAACACAATATTTCGTCAATCATTATTGAATTTAACATGACCAAGATGACTTCATTATGTACTTACTTATTTGTAAATATGCTTCAGTTATTTGAAGTTTTTCAGAAAAGAAGAACAAAACAATTACTTTCTTGCGGCACTTACAGATCAAGAATAAGCGTTATGGTAATCAAAACCACCACAACAATAAACACAGCTGCCGGGAATGTTAACACAGTTGCCGCATATATAGCAGGAAGTACTGTCAGGCTAATCAGAAGACCGATTCGAGAAACAAATGCTCCAACTGACTGCATCACTCCTACAATGCGTAATCATAAAAGAGTTTATGAAAATATGAAGATCATTGAACTTATATGAATGAATACTAATAAATTCAGTTCCAGTTTGTCGGGTATTATTCAAAGTCTGAATGAATCAAACAGTATTACTATAATTCCCTCTGGTTCTGAGTGGGATTTGGGACTTCAGCAGTACATCGCCACCTTCCTGTGTCTTCTGTGGACCCTCTGGGCTGGCCTCGTCATTGACAATCAGCATCAGCTCTCACTTCCTAGTCACACTATCTCCTCCACATTACCCCGAATGATCTCCTCATCATTTTCCTTTCGGGTACCATTCGAAGACCTTGCACAAGACGTCACTCAACGCTTCCCTCAGTTTTTGTCCCGGATATTTGTTTTTATTTCTCTCCATGTGATCTTCAGTATCGAGCCAGAGAAGGCAGCTGTTGACAGCAGTCTGCAGTATCCAGTTGGAAATGCTTTCGGTAACGCGTAGTCTCTGAGTCACATAGAACAACAGACTAACTTGACATTGCTGTTGAAAGTTTGGATCTTGTTTTTCAAGCTAAATGCAGTTGATTTCTACACTAATTTTATAGTTATGACTGTATGTCTTACTTTTCTAAACCATCATTTAACATCACTGTAATATTATGACTTAATCTTCTTTGGTTTTAAATGCAACGAGTCTTTTTATAGGGACTTCGAAATGTATCACTACTTTTGTGTACTTCAAATTGTGGATATAAGCTGACCTAAAAGGAACTGAATAAAGTTCTCTTCAATTATTGGGATCTCAACGCCTTTGTTTTAAAAATTGTAAAGAACTAATGACAGGGGAAAAGGGAATGGGACTTATTTACCTTGTTTACTTGGAGGAGTGCATATTGAAAACATCGTTCGAGCTAGGGGAGTGCAGAAACTTTTCATTAATCTTGGGACGGCAGCTAAAATTAAGACAGAATAGATTGGATAAATTTTCATTTTACAAAAAATAAGGTCGTAATAAAAATCCCTACAGGTTACCAACATATGAAACATTTTCTATTTGAAACTTTTGAAAGCTTATCTTTCCTAATTACTGAACTACGTACATTGAATTTTCAAGTGTTGATCAGTGGGAGTATGTATATAGGAAATTGCAGCAGTTCGAGTTCATCGGCCATTAGATCTTTTTTCACCGGCTGAATGATGACATGCTCGCATAGTAAAATTAAAGTTATGGGTCCGATCTCCAGTGCGTCATGGTTCAGTAATGCTTCATGCTTAATGCTAGCGAAATAAGATGAAATAGTAGTCCAGTACTTTCTGACATTCAATCCCTTTTTAACTGATGTTAGTTCGTCATAACTTGTTACGTGTATTCAAAATGAAGTTAGCAATTTGAGGTGATAAAATTTAAAAATGTTACTGAATCCACAGTTTCAAATTTTTCAAGTACCCATTAATTGTCTCTTATCTGTTGTAATGTAAATCATTCCAAGTTTATTTAAGTAAGCCAGTGTATTATTCCAGTGGTCCATATTTATTTATCGCATACCGCTTCAGTTATATGACTGTGTTACTGTCACTAGTGAATTACCTTACTTACTAATGATATATACTCCAACACTAAACATACAGCTCTTGGCTGACTTCTGAGCTTTCAATGATTTGGTGATCGGAGGCAGCGTGTACAACCACAAGGATATACATAAAGTGACATGAATTTCGCCGACCGGAAACAGCACAAACCAGATCGATTACATTTCAATGCTGCTCAAGGAAGTTGAGACGCAGCCAGTCTGCTGGACACAAAGTGGAGAAGAGGAGCAAATGCGTGCTCTGACCATCATCTAGTTCAAGGAATCTTAAACGTGAGGCTGAAATCCCTGAAAGCAAATGGAGTCAGGCCACTGTAATTGGAGTTCAAAATTGAGAAAGTGAAGGATAAAACTACAAGGAATACCTACCTACACTAGAGATCAGATCAGAGCAAAGTCGGAGACATTCCGTGAAATTACTGATGGAACCTGCTTGGGAGAACATTGAAATTAAGTCTCTGAAGGTGATGTTCTAGGAAACGTGTACAGCTGATCTGGGGAGAAATATAAGACACAACAAAGAATGGCTGTCAGCAGATACCTGGGAGCTTACAAAAGCGAGGTGAGGAGGATGGTGAAAGAGAAGATGACTCAGTGCATAGATGGACAACTGAAGGAGAGGCGGCTGAATTCAGTATACACTACATTGAATAAAGAAGTGAAGAGGAAGAGTGCTAGGAAAGACAAAAGACAACTCTACGATACACTGGCCAGCAACAAAGGATGAACAGGCCGTAGGTAAAAGAGACCTCAGGATATTGTATCAGATAACTAGGTCTCTATCCAGGAAGAGATCAACCCAGATGATGAAACCGACAAAGGATACTCAAGGGAACCTGATCACCAAGGAGGAAATACAAATAAAGCAGAGGTCTGATCACTTTAAAGGACTCTTGAATTGACCATCACCCGCAACTCGCCGACGTATATAATACCAACAGCAGTACGCACGGAACTGCCAGTTGACACCAATCCTGCAACGAAAGCAGAAATCCTGGATGCTATCAGGCTACTGAAGTCCGTGAAGGCAGCAGGGCGAGGCAGAATAATCTTCGAATCACTTATAACGGACCAAGAAATCGTGACTGATATTCTCATGGCATTGTTGCAAAAGGTTTGGAAAGGGGGAAAGGTTTCCACCGATTGGAAGAAAGGCTGTCTGTCTCTGTCCGTCTGTTTGCGATATAGAACATTGCACAAATGTGCGGCAGTTCAAGTCGCCACACTCCATCTACCACACAAAGCAAAAGAAGAAAGTAGAAGAAGTGCATAATAGAGACAGTAAACAGAGGTGTGAGACAAAGAAATAGTAATAACGAAGAACAAAACAGTTTCAATGGAAATCATAGGTCACAAGGAGTGGATGCATCTGCACTAACCATTGAGAATGATTTTGAACCATATCACCAATTGTTTCCAGCCATTGGTTTTCACCGTCCCGAAGACCCCAATCAGGAAGTCTAAACCTTCCTCCGTGGCTTAAACTAACTGTTGTAGATATCCTTGACTGGTGCCATGTTTTGGTTTGACCGCCACTAGTTCTTTTTCAGCCTGACCCTATGTCAGCTAATACTGCCTGTCGAGGAAGGCGGTGACTAGGCATACGTAACACATGTCCTAACCATCTCGGTCGATGTAATTTCACAGCCTGGTCTGTTGATTTTCCCTCCCTCCCTACCTAGCACTCGACGGATGCCTAACCTCAATATTACTCACCTTATTATGCCACTTGATATGGGAGATAGAACGTAAACAGCTAATTAGGCCTTTCATGTCTTTCACGCTCAATGGCCAGGTTTCACTCACACCCATAAAAGAGGAAGGAGCAAACTGCTGAGCAGTACACACTCCCTTTGGTCGATAGACAGCCGGATATAACGTCTACGCCAAAGACGGCGTAAACTGGCATATGCGAAACTAGCCCTCTGTATCCGTGCTGAGTATTCGTCAGAGATAAACCCGTTGGGGTCCATGTGCTCCATGTACTTCACTCCCTATTTCTAAACTAGGAGTCAGTGTTGTCCGGTCCTGTAACATCATCTTACATTTGGCGGGAGCGAATCGCACGCCAAACATTCGTAGGTTGCAGCTCAAGGTGTTCAGAAGACTCTGCATTTTGTCATAGTCTTCACTCAGCCAGTATCAACAACAAAATTCGGTCGGATTTTCAATACAAACATCAAGTCAGTCAGTCAGTTCTTCTATACGGATCGGATCAGAAACTTGGCGGGTGGGTCACAAAGAATATTTCCACCAACAACCTGTTGCCGACCTTCATCAACAACTAACTGTCTTCGCTGGCTCTATACTGAAGATCAGATGGCTGGGCGGGAAAGAATCACCAACTAGGGGAAACTATGGGAACAAACAAAACATGAACCAATCGCCAACCAACATATATGCGGGAGAAAGTGGAGATGGATCGGACACTCGCTGAGGCTGAGGGTCGCTGGGTGACATCGCGCGCGCGTCAGGTCATTCCTCGAGTGGAACCGGAAAGGGAAGCACGTGGCGAGTGGGACGTCAGTTCAAGGGTGACATGGAGGAGATCGTGTGAAGAGGAGTTGAAACAGTATTGAATAACATGGATGAAGGTGAAAAATACAGTGGAAGACAGAAGCAAGTGGAGACATGCAGTTGAAGCCCTATGTTCCACTAGAAACCCAAGGGAACAATAATAATAATAATAGGCAGAAGACATCCTTTAGTTCATCCGAACTGCAGTCTGTTGGGCGGTAAGCGGACACTATGAAAAGACAACGTCGGATAGCGCCGTCTTTCCTTCTTTTAACGGACCTATTCAGACGGACACAAAAATGACTATCTACTGTGATCCAGTCAAGAAGTGATTTTTCCACCCTAACACTCAGTGCTATTCCTACACCTGCGAGTCCTCGCAAGTTAGCTGAGGGGTCTCCTGACACTCTTAAAGTGAATTTTGCAGATTCATCTAGTTGACCGGGTGAGGATAAATGAATGTCCACACTCGGGGCTTGTATGCGTGTCTGGAAGAGCTGGCGAATAATGATGCTCTTTTCCGCGGACTGTGAAATACTAAGTCGCGTCATTTTGGAGAGAATAAAAGACGCACTGGATGCAGAAATCCATTATCCGGAACTGCTGGATTCAGGAAAGGCAAGTCATGTGTTGATCAAATTGCGACTCTACGCATCATCACTATCATCGAACAGAGCATAGTTTGGCAGTCAAACCTCTACTTCAACTTTATTGACTTCGAGAAGGCCTTCACCAGACAGCGTAGACCGAGAAGCAATTTAGAAACTACTTCAACACTACGGTGTGCAGTGCCCAAATCTTTGTCAACCTCATTCAACAGCTGGCTATACGACAATGCCACGTGTCAGGTGATCTACATCGGGAGATTTAGCAAAGCGTTCGAATCGAATATGAGAGTACGGCAAGGTTGGCTGTCTATTATCACTGGTGATATTCCTATTTATGGTGGACTGGATTGTGTGTTAGACTGTGCACAATGTGTGAGAAGACGGGAATACTTTAGGACGATCAGAAGAAGAATATGTGGATTTCACAGGTGATTGATTTTTAATGTCACACATACTCGAAAACTAACAGGCAAAAACCGACAGACTGGCTAAGCAAACAGGCGGAAGAGACAGGACTGCGGGTGAACATAGAGGAGATGGAGTTTATGAAGATAACCAACCAACAGCGACAACAACAACCAGCACCAATCACCATCAAAGGGAGAGATTTAACAGAGGTTACATTCTGTCTTCACTTATATAGGAAGCATCGTTTCAACTTCAAGTGGAATGGATGAAGATGTTAAAGCTAGTCAGCCAGAATGGGAAAGGCAAGATACGGCTTCATCAACCTGCAACCAGTTTGGAAATCTTCTGCACTACACTTCGCAGCATAAACACCAATATTGGATTTTCAACACAAATGTGAAGTTAGTCCGTTCTTGTATACGGGTCAGAAACTTATCCAGCGCATCACGGAAAGCGTTATCAATGGGTGCTGCAGACTTTTGTCAACAGCTGCCTCCTTCGTTCCATACTGAAGCTCAAATAGCCAGAAATAATTAGCAACAGGAAACTCTGGTGAGGAACAAACCAGCCAAGAGCCGATCGCTCAACAAATAAGTTGGAGAAGATGAAGATGGATAAGGCATACATTGAAGTGGCTGTCGAGTGACATCGCGCTCCAGGCCATTGCTCAAGTGGGATCCTAGTGGTAAGCAACAAGTGGGTCCTCCTAGGGTGAGGGAGAGATGAGAGAGTTTGGCAAATCTTTGACCCGGCTAGAGAGGATGGCAGAAAAGAGAACAGTGGAGATATGTTACTGAGAACCTATGTTCCACTCGGAACCTAAGGGAATAATAATACTTCGCTGACATTGAGAAGATCAGTACATGTTGAAATGCCTACTTTATTTCATCTTAAAGATATTTTTGTGTTTTGTTCAACTTTGAGGCAGCAGTTTCGTGTCAAAAATCTGTTGCTGTCAGTTGTTAATTGAACTCTAACTGATATCTCAATAAACTTATTATTTTCATTGTATTCACGTTTTCTTATACCATCTATATTTGAGAAGCATTCATTTCGTATAAAATCGGAAAAAATTATCTTTACTTCAAGATCTTACACTTTCGTATTAGATGTGTGGGTTTACAGTGTTAAACACCAAAGGGAAATCAAATAACAGTTGTGTGATATCTCAACAAAGTTTTCAGTTTCACTGAAAAAAAATGGCGATAATTGTCTTCAGTGGTGCGTTTCACTAAAATTATCTTGAAGCTTAGGTTATCTTTTTATAGTTTGTTGAAGCCGAAGGCACCATGATGAACAACAAGCTGATGAATTATTTTTAAACAACATTTTTTAATCACAGAAACAGTCAAACGTTGTGAGGCTATTTCAGCACCGAATCGATCATACTAAGTCGAATTTGCTAGGTGCCCTTATTGAACAGCCAAACTTGCACAACAAAATAAAAGATGACCGTTCGACAGGTAACACAGAGTATCGAATTAGATTGTCTTGAAAATACTTTATAATCTTATGGTTAATACAAACTTCTTTTAGTAGCTTAGGCAGAATAACTTGCTTAGATGTTTAATTTACAACTGCGATGTATCATGCAAACGTTCACACTTGTGTACATCATGTGGGTTTTCAGTCAAAAAAAGATGTGACATCAGGTGGTCTTATAATTTTTGATTCCCTAAAAAGTATTTAAACACTTGATAATGGTGATTAATCAGTAGCTCGTTACGTGTATACCTGATAAGTGCGTCACGAAATAAATTCTAGATTGGCACAAAAATGTTTAAATTCAACGAATTCACACAACTTTTTCGAATTTTAAAGCGCCTACAATATAAATGAGTTAATACCTATGTTAGTGCATATACCTGCATGATACCCAGTCTTGCTTATTTTATAGTATAATTTCATGATGTATCTCTTAATCTACGTGGGCTGAAACTCATGGGTTGTAATTTCGTATGAAACTACGTCAAGCCTTACAAGAATGAATTATGTTAAATACCTTCAAAGTATTACTAATTGATAATAAGGAAAGTCATTTATATTACCTGGGCTTGATGTTAGTCGAATACTCTGGACATTAAAGTCCAATCACATTTTTTGAATACTGGTAAATAAATATAACAATGGGTTTCGAAGGTTCTACGATATATTAACCACAGGGTGTCTTTGGAACATGTTACTTTAAAACCATTTGTAGAATTTTCATATTAATATCGTGTTTCAAACCAGATAAAAGAACTTGACGTGCTGAAGTATACGCATATGTAGTCTTGTTTTACAACTGCTGGATAGTGATTTCACTTTTGGTTGGAGTAATATTCGAATTAGAGGATAAGTAGAAAGTAAAAGCTGCTCTCTTTACATAAACCACTGAAAAATTATTCTTTTTATGACTTACCAACATAAATTATTATATCTGCTGTCGGTAACTGGAATCTGTGAGCTAGACCAACAGCTGTGCGATTTATTATTAGCATTAGCAGTGAGATAGCAAGTACTGCAACAAGCAAATTCATTAGCCGGGTGTAATGCTTTTCTGTTCTTTGAGGTTCTGGTACATTCTCGTTTGTGACATTGTCGGCTTCAGTTGCTTTAGCACGCGCTTTTTTCTTCTCGTCCAATTTAATTATCACAATGGTGAATACAACTGAGATGACAGCTGCTGTAACATCTGTTATACCCCTGTAAATAAGTAATCGACAATAGTTTTAAAGAATAATATCTATGAATTATTAATTTTATTCGGTGGATAATATCAAATTAATGCCTTTGCACTGATTCATTCCTTCTTTCGATGAAAGCAAAAGTAAGGATGGGTACCTGGAATGTTCGTACAATGTACGAAACTGGAAAGGCTGCCCAGATAGCCGCTGAAATGAGAAGGTACAGAATAGAAGTGTTGGGAATCTGCGAGAGCAGATGGAACGGAACTGGAAGGTGCCAACTACCTACTGGAGAGACAGTAATCTATTCCGGCCACCTAGAGGACAACCATGAGCACACCGAGGGAGTGGCCATCATGATGTCACCAACAGCAACCAAAGCTCTCATGCAGTGGGAACCAATCTCCTCCAGGATAATGACAGCCAGGTTCAACTCAAAAGGAAGGAAAGTTACAGTCATTCAATGCTATGCGCCTACAAACGTCTCAGAACAAGAGAAGAAGGAGGCGTTCTACAGACAACTACAAACGGTAATGGACAACGTCCCAAATGGCGATATCAAAATCCTGATGGGCGACATGAATGCGAAGCTGGGACGAGACAACACAGGAAGAGAACTCACCATGGGTCGTGAGGCCCTCGGTGAAATGAACGACAATGGTGAACTCTTCTCAGACTTCTGCGCCTTCAATGATTTGGTGATTGGTGGTAGTGTGTTCAAACACAAGGATATACACAAGACGACATGGATTTCACCAGATGGAAACACCAAGAATCAAATAGACTTCATCTCAATTTCAAGAAAGTGGAGACGGAGCCTACTGGACACAAGGTCAAGGAGAGGAGCAGATGTGGGTTCAGACAAGCGACTTTCAAGGTGAAACTAAAAGCCTCGAGGATAGCTGGGGATAGGCCACAATGCAAGTTCAACACTCAATTACTGAAGGACACAACCACAAAAGACACCTTCACTGCAACTGTCAGAGCAAAGCAGGAAACACTACGCGACATCACTGAAGAATCATGCGTGGAAGAACATTGGAAGTCTCTGAAGGCGATTCTCAACGAAACGTGTTCAACGGTTCTAGGAAGAAAGAAGAGACAAGACAAGGAATGGCTCTCAACGGACACTTGGAAATTAATAGAAGAGAGGAGAATGGTGAAAGAGAAAATGACGGACAGGAGAAAGAGACGATGAGCTCAACTTACAAAGCATTGGACAAAGAAGTGAAGAAGAGTGCTAGGAAGGACAAAAGACGATTCTACGACAATCTAGCTACTGAAGCTGAAAGGCAGCAGGCAAAAGGGACCTGAGGACACTATATCAGATAACCAAATCTCTATCCGGGAAGAGACCAACACAAGCGAAACCTATAAAAGACAGCCAAGGGAACCCATTACCAAGGAAGAAAAACAGATTAAACAATGGGCGGATCACTTCAAAGGACTCTTGAACCGACCGCCACCTGCAACCCGTCCAGAAATACCAACAACAGCGCGCACACAACTGCAAGTTGACACCAATCCTCCAACGAAAGCTGAAGTCTTGAACGCAATCAAGCTTCTGAAAGCTGGAAAAGCAGCCGGACCAGATGGAATACCCCCTGAAGCACTGAAAGAGACGACAGCAGACATGCTGACTCCATTATTGCAAAAGGTCTGGAAGGAGGGAAAGGTGCCTACTGACTGGAGGAAAGGTTACCTCGTGAAACTACCAAAGAAGGGCGACTTAGGCCCCAATCTGCAAGAACTGGCGAGGAATCATGCTCCTATCGACGCCAAGTAAAATCCTGAGTCGCATCATCCTGGAGAGATTAAAGGACGCACTGGAGACAGAACTCCGACCAGAACAAGCTGGATTCAGGAAAGGCAAATCATGTACTGACCAAATTGCAACTCTACGCATCATCATCACAGAACAAAGCATGGAATGGCAATCAAACCTCTACCTCAACTTTATAGACTTTGAGAAGGCCTTCGACAGCGTTGATCGTGAAGTAATTTGGAAATTACTCGAGTACTATGGCGTACCCCAAATATTCATCAACCTTATTCAACAGCTGTACGACAACGGCACATGTCAAGTGATCCACAACGGAAAACTCAGCGAGGCGTTTGGAGTAAACACAGGAGTCAGACAAGGGTGCTTATTATCACCAATGATATTCCTAATTGTGGTGGACTGGATTATGCGTCAGACAGTGGGAAACGAGAAGACAGGGATATCCTGGACCGACGTGAAGAACCTAGAAGACCTGGATTTCGCGTATGGATGATTTATGTTTGATGTCACACACAATCGAAGACTTACAAGCGAAAACCGACAAACTGGTCGAAGAAGCAGCCGGCGAAGACAGGACTCCAGGTAAACATAGACAAGACGGAGGTTATGAAAATAATCAGCCAACAACAACAACAAACATCCAGCGTCAATCACCATCAACGGGAGGGATTTGAAAGAGGTTACTTCATTCACTTATCTAGAGAGGGAGCATTGTCTCAACTACAAGCAGTCGGAACGGACGAGGATGTCAAATCGAGCGAGAATCGGAAGGGCGAGAAACACATTCATCAACCTGAAACCAATCTGGAAATCTTTGTCACTCAGCATCAACAACAAAATTCGGATTTTCAATACAAACGTCAAGTCAGTTCTTCTATACGGATCAGAAACTTAGCGGGTGGGTCACAAAGAATATTTCCAAAAGGCTGCAGACCTTTATTAACAACTGTCTTCGCTCAAGACTGAAGATCAGATGGCCGGAAAGAATCCCCAACATGGAATTATGGCAACAAACAAAGCAAGAACCAATCGCCCAACAAATATGCAGGAGAAAGTGGAGATGGATCGGACACTCGCTGAGGCTGGAGCCGCTGGGTGACATCGCGCGCGCGTCAGGCATTCGCCCGAGTGGAACCCGAAAGGGAAGCGGCGTGTGGGACGTCCAAGGGCGACATGGAGGAGATCGTGTGAAGAGGAGTTGAAAGAATATGGATTAACATGGATGCAGGCGAAATGTATAGCAGAAGACAGAAGAAAATGGAGACGTGAAGTTGAAGCCCTATGTTCCAGTAGGAACCCAAAGGAGCAATAATAATAATACTGATTCATTCCATGATAATTAGTAGATGGAAAATAAAGAATAGATGGAGAAATCAGTAAACAGTATACTTTTGTCCCTGTAATTATTTTGAAAGTAATATTTTTCACATGATCACTTCAAGTGGTTAGTTTGTTTGGATTCAGTTAGCAAGATGCTTTTAATTTCGAACTAAATTTCTACAAATATATTCAACATTGTTGGGAACCATTTTTATTCCTTTATGTTCTGGTTGGAACATAGAGAGCTTCAATCTAGAGCTTCGGAGTTTCGATAGCAGTGGTGTTATTCTTTTCTACGAGGTGGGGTTGCTAGCCTCACTCTCAACCTACCGTCTTTATTGGAATGACTACCAGCTGGGCGAGGTTTAGGAGTGCATCGGCCGGTGCGTGGTTGGCAGGGTTCTTTCAGAATAGCGGTGTTTTTTACATATTGGCTAACTATACAGAGTCCGTACAATAAAACTAACAAGTCTCCATTAGGCAAATTCTTATGATTTATTGATCACAGGATAATAAAGGCTGCTAAAACAAGTTTTATAAATATTCAGGCTTCAGCAGAAATTTGAATTACCATAAAAACTTAACTCAGTTTCCCTCATTTTCAAGAGCTTTTAGAAAAAACACTCATTTAATCAGTTGCTGACTATTAAATATAGCAAAAATCCACTTACGAGTACAGTCCAACACGTTCTGGACTCCATAGGAAAGGAGGGCCCATGAGGTAGACAGCGACGTATTGTAAATCGGCCAGAGCCGAAATAGAACCAAAAAGAGCCACAGACATAATAATGACCAAAACAGGATCTAAAGCCCTCAATTTCTAATGTATTTGTGCATGAAAAATAATATGTGAATTTATATCAAAATGCAAAAATGTATCACAGTTTCATAAAATGCTGAAAATACTACCCAAGTTTCCATTCAGTTTCACTGACGCAGGTGGTTTTGTATATATGTATAAAATTGCCACAGCTGTGTTTTAAGAAATGAGAGAAGAATCATGTTCCGAAGGGGCTGATCGATTATAAAAAATGTGATTAAAATAAATCAAAGAATGACTGGCTTAAATAACAAGCTGTGAACAAAAGTGTGGCAGATGTAACTATCTGAAAACGATGACTCTGTAAATATCCAAAGTTGGAGAGACTACGGAGCCTGTATAGAGTTGTGGTCTAAACACAGCGAATCGATTCTTGCCTCTTACTGTTTAGCTGTGAGAAACGTCTTTGGAAAACGCGCACTCACAAAACGCTCCAAAGACAGTCATAAGATGGTTGTATGTGACTGGAATCTGTATGTGGTTCTTTTCAGCAGTAATAGCATCAAAAACTGAAAACTACCTCAACAGTGTTGTTTGACGTCTACACAGGCAATTTAGGTTTTTAAGCACAAGACAAGTACTGTGGGACAAGATTAGTTAGCCAAAATTCAACTATAAGAAGTACCTCAGGATCAGGTAGAGTATTCCCACCAGAGTAGAACAAAAACCTGTCCACTAGGGTCATACACCAATGCATCTCACAGATATTTCGAGAAATACAATGACTTCGATTCACTCAAACGAAATCGCATCGTACAACACATTATTAATGTACATGCAACAACTAAGAGTAACATTAAAATTAAAGATACAATAGTAACAAAGATGACTAATAAGAATCAAGTCAGCAATATGATGTGCAAATGTCAGAACAATGATATGAAGGAAAACGGATGACAGTTACAAAGTTAGCTGAATTGCCAAAATAAGTATAAATACTTTGATTAGATCGTTCAAGAAGAATTTTCCACACAACCTAAAAGTTACCCAGTAGAATGGGAATGCTAAAGTCCCTCACACGAGACTGATCTGACCATATTTTGCTTAGTTTTCATAAAATCAACAAATTATTTTCACCTTTACATTATCATGTGTTAAAACTTGGATCTAAATGACGGATACAGAAACTACAGTTCATCCAAATCTGAATTCAGTACCTAAAATCTCATTCTCATAATTTCTTCACGCTTAAATTTACAATGATAGTTTAATTCCCAAGTACTGGTTTTGTAAGGATTTTGTTTGATTGCAAGGAGGATTTCTTCATGAGCTGACGCCAGTTAGAGAGCCACTGGAAAGCTGGGAGTACTGAACCGCTTTCCCATCCTGGTTTGGGACTCTTCATCAGTACGCACTCACCACAGGGACTCGAAGCCAGGACCTTCTGGTTACAAGGCGAGCTCGTTGAGCATTGAGCCACTGGAACCCGATCCAATGGCCGGGCAGTGAATTCTAACTTCTGCCAATTCACGATATAGTGCGACCATTTCGTAGTGTCTTTTTCGATGAGTTACTGCCTCATCTTCAACCCGCTGTACCACACTGGTCACGGCTTTCCACTAGAACCATAGTTTAACTGCCTGAACAGGGCGGTTGCTAGAGATCATGAGATTAATTTTCAGATATTCGTCGGGGAGTATTGAGAAGCCGTGACCAATAGGTTACTGCAAGTTGAAGATGAGGCAGTAACTCATCGAAAAAGACACTGCGAAATAGTCGCACTATATCGTGAATCGGCAGAAGTTAGAATTCACTGCCCGGCCATTGGATCGGGTTCCAGTGGCTCAATGCTCAACGAGCTCGCCTTGTAACCAGAAGGTCCTGGCTTCGAGTCCCTGTGGTGAGTGCGTACTGATGAAGAGTCCCAAACCAGGACGGGAAAGCGGTTCAGTACTCCCAGGTTTTCCAGTGGTTCTCTTACTGCTGTCAGTTTATGATAATTTAATTGTCACTAAAACAGTACTTTCTCTTTCAAATTTCATTTCTTATCACGGGGTACATTCAGCATACCTTACAAATCCAGTAATACTAAGTTTGATTTGTAAATGTGTAAATATTTGAAGCTTCCTAAGCCTACTTCATTTCATTGAAAGTACTGATTAGCATTGCATCATCAGAGGACAAAATTCGTGATAAAGTTCTTTAATATAGTCACATGAAGTTAATTTATAAAACACATGTCTAAATTACTGTAAAATAATCATTCATTTGCGTGTGTCAAAA